TGAGAGAGGGAAGGGGAGAGGCAGCCTCAGGACAGCGTTACCCTGACCCAGCTCTGCCGGTCACCTCCCAGACAGGGATAACGCAGGACAGATGCCCTCACCCCCATTGCTGGTCACCAGAAATGGGCTCGTGGCAGGAGGGACGCCCTTTGCCTCTTCTGCTGCTCTGCTGGACACGGAGCTGACTCCCACCCGAGACCCCGTGGCTGTGGGGGCCAAGGGCTGTTCTGGGTTTCTCAGGGAAGGCATCTGCACTGCAGGGGTGGCCGGGAGGTGCCCGTATCTCCCCTGCAACAGGGTTTCCAGTCGCAGTTCCCTCCTTCCCTGCCCATCTCTACTGGTCTCTGCTGCCTGGGGCTCTCCCTGCCAGGAGCTCTTTCTCTCTTCCCTGCCAGGGCTCACAGACCCCAGCCCAGCCCCTGTGTGCCCAGCTCGGCCCTGCAGCCTCTCCGTGTGTGCGGGAGCTAAAGAGCAGGTTGAAAAAAACCCTGATGAAACTGGAAAGGGGATGCTGGTGCTGTCTGTAGTTCCCAGGAAAAAAAAAAAAATATGTAAAAATGGAAACTAAAGACAGACTCAAGAAAGCTCCCAATCTATGCAGAACCCTTCCTTTGACCTTTCAATTGAAAAAAACCCTTGAAAATGCGCCACTGCTCACACGGCCAAACAAGGTGAGAGATATCAAAAGAGAAACACTTTGCTTCCAGGGAACTCCAATTTAGAAAGTCCCCTCAGGAACACCCGGAGGTGACCTGGAGCTGTGAGCAGTTCCAACGCACACAGCAACCTCTCAACAGCAGGAGCCTCCCCTACCAGTGGTTACTCCTTCCACCCACAGCTTCTCCCCGGGCAGGCTGAGAGCTGACCCTGGCAGGCGGCAGAGTCCCTGCCCCAGCACACACAGCCCCTGGGGTGCAGGGACCCTGCTCTGAAGGACCGCCCTGGCCACCCCTGGCTGCACACTCACCTCCACAGCCCTTGGTTCAGGGAAGAAGGCAGCTGTCATGCCCTGTGCCTTTGGAAAGCCCTGCTTGCCAGCATGTCCTCCTACTCCACATCAGAGGAGTTGTGAGAGTCTTCCCGAAAGATCTCACAGGCTGTGGGATGTGCCAGCTTATGGAGATCTCTCCAGGAACTACAGCTGCTTTCTTTGTGAAAGAAATGTCTTCTTAATGTCTTCCCCCCATTAACTCTCAGCATCCTCCCTCTCCAGACTGCCTGTAACCCCTCTCTGCCTCACTCCTCTCCCCTCGGTGCCTGCAGACAGTGCCCTCAGCCCCACTGCGCTTTGCAGAGGAGCTGCTCCTCTTTCCTCTCATCAGCACTGCCCACTTCCCAGGAGCTCCCTCCATCCCAGCAGCCCAGCCCAGCTCGGCAGCAGAAGACCTGCTGTAACTCTCTGTGCCTCCTCCCCACCTCCCCTGGGTCCCTGGAGTTGTCCCTGGGCCTCCAGGGCTGAGAGCTCCTCAAAGGGTCTCTCCTGGGGAACAGAATTCAAAGCAAACTGAAGCAATCACCAACTGCCCCCTTGACCCCTTGTGAGCAGAATCAGCAATGGCCTTGACACCGTGTGAGCAGAGTCCAGCAATTGCGAAAACATCGTCATGTTATCAAGGCTCTTTCCATCACAAATCCAAAACATGGTACCATACAAGCTACTGTGATCAAAATGAACTCTGGTCCAACCAAACCCAGCAGAGGACCAAAATGAGGCAAGAGGGTTGCCTGGGGGAGCTGGTTTGTCCCTCTGCCTTGTTCCCACCTGACAAGGGCTTGCACCTTCATGAGATGGAGGGCGATCACACTCTGTTGGGTTGCAAGCAAACAGTGCTGAGAGCAGAGGGACCCACCTCTGACCACCAAATGTCTCCCCCTTTCCCAAGGTCTCAGCACCCCACTTGTCTCAGCCAAGGACACACAGGGCTCATTTCACCAACCCAACAGCATTTCCTCCGTCAGAGTCTCTGTGTGTCTCTGTGGGGCTTTCAGATAACACAGTGCTGCTGTGGGACAGCTTTGCGTCCTGGACGTCAGCTCACAGCTTGAGCAGAGGACCGGGGAGATGCTCCATTGTCCTCATGTGGGCATCTCAGTAAGAGAAAATTGGCTCATTCCCCAGCCCCACAGGCTGCGTTGCCCACAGCCCCACAGCTCAGAGGAAGGCTGGGACCCTTGTTCCCACGGACACACCTGCAGGAATGGAGGAACAGGATCAGTGTGTGACTCTGCAGCTGAGATTCTTCTCCCCGGGGTTTCTGACAGCAATAAAAAGAGAACTTTAAAACAGACACGTGGAGAAACAAGTCAAAATGCAGGGAGGGTCTGTCTGAGAGAGGGAAGGGGAGAGGCAGCCTCAGGACAGCGTTACCCTGACCCAGCTCTGCCGGTCACCTCCCAGACAGGGATAACGCAGGACAGATGCCCTCACCCCCATTGCTGGTCACCAGAAATGGGCTCGTGGCAGGAGGGACGCCCTTTGCCTCTTCTGCTGCTCTGCTGGACACGGAGCTGACTCCCACCCGAGACCCCGTGGCTGTGGGGGCCAAGGGCTGTTCTGGGTTTCTCAGGGAAGGCATCTGCACTGCAGGGGTGGCCGGGAGGTGCCCATATCTCCCCTGCAACAGGGTTGCCAGAAGCAGTTCCCTCCTTCCCTGCCCATCTCTACTGGTCTCTGCTGCCTGGGGCTCTCCCTGCCAGGAGCTCTTTCTCTCTTCCCTGCCAGGGCTCACAGACCCCAGCCCAGCCCCTGTGTGCCCAGCTCGGCCCTGCAGCCTCTCCGTGTGTGCGGGAGCTAAAGAGCAGGTTGAAAAAAACCCTGATGAAACTGGAAAGGGGATGCTGGTGCTGTCTGTAGTTCCCAGGAAAAAAAAAAAAATATGTAAAAATGGAAACTAAAGACAGACTCAAGAAAGCTCCCAATCTATGCAGAACCCTTCCTTTGACCTTTCAATTGAAAAAAACCCTTGAAAATGCGCCACTGCTCACACGGCCAAACAAGGTGAGAGATATCAAAAGAGAAACACTTTGCTTCCAGGGAACTCCAATTTAGAAAGTCCCCTCAGGAACACCCGGAGGTGACCTGGAGCTGTGAGCAGTTCCAACGCACACAGCAACCTCTCAACAGCAGGAGCCTCCCCTACCAGTGGTTACTCCTTCCACCCACAGCTTCTCCCCGGGCAGGCTGAGAGCTGACCCTGGCAGGCGGCAGAGTCCCTGCCCCAGCACACACAGCCCCTGGGGTGCAGGGACCCTGCTCTGAAGGACCGCCCTGGCCACCCCTGGCTGCACACTCACCTCCACAGCCCTTGGTTCAGGGAAGAAGGCAGCTGTCATGCCCTGTGCCTTTGGAAAGCCCTGCTTGCCAGCATGTCCTCCTACTCCACATCAGAGGAGTTGTGAGAGTCTTCCCGAAAGATCTCACAGGCTGTGGGATGTGCCAGCTTATGGAGATCTCTCCAGGAACTACAGCTGCTTTCTTTGTGAAAGAAATGTCTTCTTAATGTCTTCCCCCCATTAACTCTCAGCATCCTCCCTCTCCAGACTGCCTGTAACCCCTCTCTGCCTCACTCCTCTCCCCTCGGTGCCTGCAGACAGTGCCCTCAGCCCCACTGCGCTTTGCAGAGGAGCTGCTCCTCTTTCCTCTCATCAGCACTGCCCACTTCCCAGGAGCTCCCTCCATCCCAGCAGCCCAGCCCAGCTCGGCAGCAGAAGACCTGCTGTAACTCTCTGTGCCTCCTCCCCACCTCCCCTGGGTCCCTGGAGTTGTCCCTGGGCCTCCAGGGCTGAGAGCTCCTCAAAGGGTCTCTCCTGGGGAACAGAATTCAAAGCAAACTGAAGCAATCACCAACTGCCCCCTTGACCCCTTGTGAGCAGAATCAGCAATGGCCTTGACACCGTGTGAGCAGAGTCCAGCAATTGCGAAAACATCGTCATGTTATCAAGGCTCTTTCCATCACAAATCCAAAACATGGTACCATACAAGCTACTGTGATCAAAATGAACTCTGGTCCAACCAAACCCAGCAGAGGACCAAAAGGTGAGGTGTTCCCAAGACCTGTCCTCAGGGAGCTGGTCAAATGCCTTGTCTCAGATTCTGTAACAGCGGCTCAGGAGCCTGGCTCCTGCTGAGGGTCTTTTCCTCAATACCAACATTTTTGGAGCAAGCAGAGCTGTGTTGTGAGCGGAGTGATTAACTTCACTCGTAAGAGAAAAGTAGTGAAATATTTATTAAGGTGAAACAGTGATTTAACAAAATCAGTAGCAAATGCGACAGTGTTTTATGAGATTCGATGTCAAGGTCCAGTCTGTAATTTACTGCAGAGAGGACAGGGTCAGACAAGGTGTCAGGGAGACCCTCCCCTTGAGTCACGAGGTTTGAGTCACGAAGTTCAGAAGGGACCCCCTGGCTTTCAAAACTCCTTCTCAGGGAGGAGTCTGGGTGCGGCTGGATCCAATCCTAGTCCCAGACTTGGTCAACCGTTTATGTCTACAGGATTATATATGCACAAGCAACCCTTTCCAGTACTTAGCTAACATTCCAAAGTTGAGCATGCTATTAGTCACTCACTGAGAATCTGTTGTGGCAAGGAATCTCTCAACCTGGAGGAGTAGAACCTTAAGCGAGTGTCCTCACCAAAGGGGAGATCCTGGCGTGCAGCCGCTGCCCTGCAGGAGGGCTCCGAGGGCTCTGGGGCTGCCACTTTATAGAGTGAGATCATTGACCTATAGCCATATTCTCATAGGAACAAGATGTCTGTCTAGGTGCCCACTCCAGACAGTGTTTTGGCTGCGTTGCCAGCCATCCCCCAAAATCCAGGTGCAACTTCTCAGAACTGCCCCTGATGGCCACGTCCCCAGCAGGAGCTGGGGGAGGGGGGAAAGAGGGGGAAAAACAGGGAGAGCACACCGCCACACTGGCCACCCCCGCCCCAGGGACTCTGCATCAAGGAGGGAGCCTGGGGGACGGCGGCAGCTGCTCAGCAGGCGGTGACAGATGGAGGATGTCGCTGTGAGCCCACTGTGACACGGGAGGTCGGCTGGTGGGTAGGCGATGAGCAACAGAGGACACCCCCTGCTGATGTGACCCGTGAGGGCAGAGGGCCAGTTGTCCCGCACAGAGGCCCCGGGCTCAGTGTGTAGCTGGCACTGTGTGGTGAGGTCCTTGTCCTCACTGCAGCTGGGCACAGCTGTCTTCTCCTGAGGTACCCCGTGTGCCACAGGGTGCTGACAATGGCTTCTGCCTGGGAAAAGAACTATCACCACTCCGACCTGGAGAAAGCAGCAGCTTTCCTCCCCTCGCTGCTCACTGGCAGCTCCTTCAGGAGCACAGACCATGATCAGACTGTCCACGGAGTGCTGCTCTTTGCAGATGTTTCAGGTGGGGGGAGCCGGGAGGAGCAGCCACGGACACGAGCCGTCTTGGGACACACCAGGCCTTTTGGAGCCCCTTGGACAGAGGGGCCATCTTGGCTGAGGTGTCTTGGTGGGACACACCAGACCCTTTGGAGCCCCTTGGACAGAGTGGCCATCTTGTGCTGCGATGCCCAGAGAGAGCAGGATGGGTCGTCTTGGGCGGTCAACCCCTGCTGCCACCAGCACTGAGCTGGGCATGGGAAGGTGTTCCCAGCAGGCTCTCCAGCAGGGTGGAAAGTGCTGCTGGGTCCCTGGGCCCACACGGGCATTTCCTGATTTCTGACTGTCCCTGTTACAGGTTTCACAACGCTGACTGAGAAATTCATCCAGAAGAGGGGCAAGGACAGAGGCACTGATGAGCTGGCGCAGACCCTCAATGAGTACCTGTGTGATATTTTGGGAGGTAAGAGCCGTGCTGCAGGACTGTCTGGCATCGGGCCTTGATGGTGGAGGGTGGAGGCAGACATGCTGGGCAGTCTGGTCCAGCCTCCTCGGCAGGGCTGGGGCTTTCTGTGAGGAACAGTGAGAGCAGCCAGGGTCTGCTGGTGGGCCAGGGCCAGCGCAGGCCCTTTCTACTCCCCACTGTGGCCGAGGAGGCACCCGCTTTCTCAGCAGCCCCCTGGGTGCCTCTGGCGTGGGCAGCCGGCTCCGTGCTGCATCAGGGCCCAGCACAGTCTACAGCTTGAAGGGAGGGTGCAAAGAGGACAGGGCCGGGTTCTTCCCAGTGCTTCCCAGTGTCAGGACCAGAGACCACGCCACAGACCCGCACTGAAACACAGGAGGTTCCCTCTGTAGGCCAGGAAACACTTTTTTCCTGTGAGGGTGACTGAGCACTGGCAGAGGTTGCCCAGGCAGGTTGTGGAGTCTCCCTCCTCAGAGCTATTCAGGAACATCCTGGGCAGCTGGCTCTGTGCAGCCTGGCTGGAGCAGCAGGGTTGGATCAGAGGTCCCTTCCAGCCACCACCTTTCCGAGGTTTGGTGGCATCTGGAGGCCCTGCCTCCTTGCCTGCTGTGCGGGTACCAGGGCAGAGGTCGGAGCGGTGCTTTCCTCAGCTGTGCCCCACAGTGCACCCTTGCCCAGGTGCTGCTCTTGGAGGGGGGCTTGCTCCGTGGCTTCTGGAAGAAGGTGTCCTCATGTCCACTCTTCCTTTTCTTCCCTCTGTCCACAGAGTTCCTGGTTTTTGGAGGAGACATCTTGAAGTTTGCTGGTAAGTGTTTAGGACAACAATGCCCACGTGCGCTGATGGGCAGTATTTACCTGTTGTGGCGGCCGTTTGCTCTGCTTTCCTTCTCCAGAGGCTCTGTGCAGCACCTGGAACCAGCTCTTGGCCACCACACACCCCCACAGTGGCCTCTCTGTCCCCCCGGGCCTGCCTGCGGCTTGGCTTTGGCCAGGGCTGTGGCTCCCCTTTCTCTGCCCCGGCTTGTAGGGCCCTGGGCTGGGGGTGGGGGAAGGAAGGCCCCAGAGGAGGAGACTCCCAAGAAAGCACAGCCCAAGGTGTGTGTTGGGGTGGTGGTGAGGGGCAGGGAGGCCCCGGCGATGGCGGAGCTGGGGCTGCCAGGCTGGCAGCGGAGGGGGTGTCCCTGGTGTGCTGCAGCTGCAGAGGAGCGCTTGGGGCAGGGGCTGCCACCGCTGCTGGCTTCTGCTAGGGCTGCCCGGGAGAGGAGGGGTGTCCTGGTGCCCGGGGTGGGGTGTCCTCCAGGATGATGGCCACCCACAAGCCCATCTTCCTCTGCCCGTCAGCTGGTTTCTGCTGTCCCTGCCACTGAGCGTAGGTCGTGGAGAGCCAGGTCTCAGCAGAGCCCTTCCCTCCCTTTCCCCAGGAGACGCTGTGCTGGTGCTGTGGAGAACAACCCCCCGGGAGCTGGCCAGGACCATCAGCCTGGTGCTGCACTGTAGCCTGCAGATCCAGAAGAAGTATAGAAGGCGTGAGACAGACGTGGGCCAGGAGGTCCAGCTGAAGATAGGTACGGGCGCTCTGCCAGACGCAGATCCGTGGCACTCCCCCATGCCACAGGGAGCTTCCCACCAGCAGGGAATGTGGGGACTGGGGCTTGTGCCAAAGGAAAGCATCTCGGGCAGGCGTTCAAGGCTCCAACTGTATTTGGAGCAGGGACGGGAGTTTGGGACTGCCGGCCGGGTTTGCGCGTGTCTGCAGGTGCAGAGGAAGCTTAAAGGCAGAGCAGGTGTCGCATTGAGCCTCAGGAACTTTGAATGTCTGCTTTAGCACAGACATCTGCGGGAGATCGGTATCCTTTTGTTTCTTCAGGCGGGGGCAGCTTTGCATCCTTTCCCCTGCTGGATTCTCCCCTGCCTTTCACAAAGAGCAAAGGGGATCTGCTTGGTTCATGCCTGCGAGAAGGGCTTTTGCCGGCTCTTGGGTTTTGCTCCAGCAGACAGCTCCAACCTGCCCACATGGAAACGGAGCAGGCAGTGGTGGAGGCCGCTGGTTTGCTGGGCTTCTGGGGCAGGCAGCTGGGTAAGGCGCGTGGCACTCTCAACGCATTCTCCATGTTGACTTTGTCTGTTTCTAGACATCCATTTCAGGGAGCTGTGTGGGTGTCCCCCTGAGCAGGATGGAGGGTGCTCTACCCCTCCATGCTGCCTGTCTCCCTGCTGGGCTTCAGTTTGTCTGAGCAGCTGAGATACTGGGGGCTGCAGAGTTCCAAACGCTCCCTGTGTCAGTTCGGCTTCTCCCTCTCCCCAGGGGTCTCTGCAGGGACCATGAGCCTCTCCATTTTCGGAGACAGGAGGCGGCAGCACCTCTGCCTTTTTGGCCAAGGCGTGGGTGAAGTTAATGAGGCCGAAGAGCTTGCAGGTGCAGGTGACATTGTCCTCTCAGCTACTGCCTGGGAGGTCTGTGAGCAGCACCGGCTGAGGACCAAGCACCTTGCAGGCCAAAGAGCTGTGAAGGTGGGTGGATGGCATGGCCTCTAGAGCCATTGTGAGGAGCTGGACTTGGCCGTGAAGGAGGGAGGTGTCAGAAAGCTGAGGAGCTGAATGTGGAGAGAGCTGAGGCTGGGAAAGTGGGCAGGCAGCTGAAGCTCTTGTCTTCCCATCTCAGGGGTAACTGTGGGCAGGGCTCGCTTGGTTGGAGGGGTCAGGAGGCACCAGAAGGGTTTTAGCCCCACCAGCAATGTCCTATGGGCCACGGAGCTGTGGTAGACAGCTGGGGGATGCTTCGATAATGGCTGCCCAGCTCCAGTGCTTCTGAGGAGGCCCTGCTGTCCCAGCCAGCCAGGTGGGCTTCCTCTCCCCTCTCCTAGGAGGTGGCAGTGGAGGGCAGGCTCTGTCCCCTGGTACTCCTGGGGAGGTCAGGGGCAGTGATTTCATTCTGTGTGTCTTCAGGTTACGGGCATGGAGCCAATGTCTTGGTCAGAATGCCAAGACGCCTTACACAAGCTCATACAAGACCCACTGAGCCACTGCTCGGAAAGGGAAGGTGAGTGCCAGCTTGCACTTGTTCTGGGATTGCCCCGAAAGGTGGGACCTGGCTGCTCTGCCCTCAGCATCTGGAGGTGGCCACCTGGGCAAAGGCAGAAAGACGCTTTCTGCCCCGTTTCCAGGGCCAGCCCCTGCTTTGCAACAGCTCCTCGTCCCACGCGTCCAGCGACCACCCGCCTTTTCTCTCCTCAGCTGCCATGAGGCCGGCTCTTCTCTTGTCCAGTGATCCCAGTGCGGAGAAGGCGTACAGGAAGTACATACCAGCCGCTGCTCTCGGGAAGGTATGGCAAGGCCACCACTGCTGGGGGCTGCATTTTGGGAGGGAGGGTAGGGCCAGTGCGCCTGATCTCCCTCCATACCTGGTGTGGGCAGTGAGACCCCAGGAGAGCAGGCTGGTGAAACTGTCGTGCTCTTGTCTTCCAGCTTGATGAAAGAGTGCCACTGCAGCTCTTCTCTGAGCTACGGCCAGTCACCATCATCTTCATCCAGCTGCAGCTTCCTGCAGATGGCAGCACAGGGAGCACCAGCACCATCCTCAAAACTGCCAGCAGCGTGATGTTGGAAATCCTGTCTCCTCACAAGGGCAAAATCAACAAAGTCCTCCTGTGTGATAAAGTGAGTGTGGGGGAACAATGGCCTCCCCCAGCATGAGAGGGTGTGCAGTGAGCACAAGGGAGAGACTCTGTCTTGGGCACTGTAGCAAGATGTGCTGCCTCTGTCCTTGGCAGGGCTGCACATTCCTGTGTGTGCTGGGACTCACTGGAAACAAGCTGCCCTCCGAGAGCATTCGCGCCCTGCAGTGTGCTCTGCAGATCTACAACGCCTGCTCCACCATGCTCGGGGAAAGAGAGTGAGTGTGTGGCGGGGTCTGGGGAGTGCATGCTGCCTGGGACGGGGCTCACCAGAAAGAGATGTGCCTTCTCGCTTGCCCTCCCCTGTCCCTGGCAGGAAGGGGGCAGTGCCCTGAGAGGTGGCCGGTAACCCCTGGGCTTAGCCCATGGCAGCCAGGCGCAGTCCCTCCATCCACGTACACCCTGCTGGCCACCGCACTGGAACGAGCCCTGGAGAGGGGCAAAGGCCCTTGGTGCCAGAGGCAGGCCCTTCTGGGCCACTGGCCCATGAACCCGGGGCCATGGGGCCCGGCCACCTGATCTCCAGTTGCTGTCATCGCAGGCGGTGACATGGTGGGCGCCTCCTTCTCTCCCTCCCTCTCTGCTGACGAGAGGGCTGTGGCCCTGCATGTGCTCTGCCCCTCTTCCTTGTCCCTTGCAACCGGCGTATGTGTCGCCCCTGAGCAATCCCCGTCCCCGAGCCCCACGCTGGCAGGGCAGGACAGCCGGTGGCCCAGGCTGGCGCCCAGGGGAGGTGCGGGCAGGGGTGAAGCCGGGCGAGCAGGACTGCGCCTGGGGCACTGCTGAAGCCCCGCTCTTTCCCTGTGTTCCAGGGCAGTGTCCGTGGCAGTCACCAGCGGGACGACGTTCTGCGGCGTCATCGGCCACCCCCTGAGGCACGAATACACAGGTAGGAGGGGGTGCCTGGGGCGCAGGAGGCTGCTGTGGGCCTGCTGAGGCAGAGGTGTCTGGCAGAGGAGGGTGGGCTGGGAGAGCGCTTGCCCAGAGCTGGCCAGGAACGGCCCCAGTGCTGCAGGTCCAGGCCCAGGAGGGGAGAATGGGCTCTGTGGGCAGCTCTTGGCCTGGGTTCCGCTGAGCCTGCCGTAGGGTTGGCCCGTGCCGGAGGTGAGGCAGCCATTGGCCTGGAAGGGTGCCGTGGGGCTGGTGGCACAGGCATACCAAGGTGTGTTCTCTCTCTAACACCTGCTCTCTCTCTGGCAGTCATTGGCCAGAAGGTGAACTTGGCAGCCCGGATGATGGGGCACTACCCTGGGCTGGTGTCCTGCGATGCAGTCACCTACGCCGCCTCGCGGCTGCCCCCTTACTACTTCAGGGAGCTGCCAGAGAGGGAGATGAAAGGCATCAGCCAGCCTGGGCCTGTCTATCAATACATGGGCATCACCGAGGAGGGGTGAGTGTCCTCTGAGAGGGCTGGATGAAGGGAGGGCGACACCAAGAGTGCAGCCTGGGCCAGCAAAGAGGGAGAGCGCGCTGGTCTCTGCTGATATATTCTCCTGTCCTTCCATGGCCATTAGCCTTCTTTATGCTTGAAGCTGTCGTAGCGTGTCAGCTTGAGCTTTGCCTGGGGGAGCATGCAGGGGATAGCATGCTGCTCGAAAGAAAAGCAGGTCCCCGAGGACCACATCCCTCCCCGCCACGCCAGGCTGCTTCTCTGGGTCCCCTGGATTCTCACCAGCTAATTGACTTGTGTTTTCTTTTCCCCTGCTTCTAGCATATTTGGCTTGGGTCTTCCCAAGAAGAGGTCAGAGTACGTCCCCTTGCTGGGTAGGTGGAGAAGGCCTTGCTCTTCTGAATCCCCGGTTCTTCCCCTTGGGAACTCTTAGTGCCACGCTGGGAAGGGAGAGGCTATTCCCAGGGATGCTGTTGCCTGCAGCAGCCCCAAGGAAGTGCCAGCTCTCTTGGTCACTGCTTGCTTGATACCTTTGGGGTGGAAAGCAAGATGAGGGGCTTGGTGCTCTCTGCCATGCTCCAGACCTGGTACGAAGGCTGGCGGATGTGGTGGTGGGGAGGGGAGCTGCGGTGGAAGGTGCCCGCCAAAGGGACGGCTCTTTTCAGCTCGCCCCAGCAGCTGCTTTTCTTGTTTGTCTTCACAGGTCGGAAGCAGGAGACCGACCTCTTTGTCGGCTGCCTGACCGCCTACAGGGATTTCGGCCAAGGGAACATCCTGGCATTTGAGGGCACGACGGGCTCCGGAAAGAGCCACTTACTTGCGGAACTGGCCTCTTTAGGCCAGGGCGCTGGCCACAGGTACAGGGTTTTCACCTTTAGCTTGGGACACCACCCCTGCCCATCCCCTGACAGCCGAGGAACACTCCAGCCCCTCTACCAGTGCACCTGGCCCTCCCGACAAAGCCTCCGGGAGATGCTGCCCGGGAGCACCTGCCTACCCTGCTCCCACCTCTGCCTCTTTGGGGAGTTGGAGGTGGCTTCTGGAGCCAGGGCCTTTCCTCCTTCCCCTCTGGGACAGGCAGAGGCAGCAGGAGAGAGCCCAAGCTCAGTGCTGTTCATCTGACTCCAGACCCAGCAGACAGCAGGGTGGCCTTTCTCAGAAGCCCTGCTTGCCCTCTGCCCGTTTCCCAGAAGGATCACGGGGGCCTGTGGTCTGGCAGGCAGACTGCTAATGTCTGGAGCCCCACGGCAGATTTGCCACTAGCCCCATCTTTGCCTCGTAGCCCCGGGAGTTCCTCTGCAGGGGGCACGCAGGGAGACAAGGGCCAGCGCTGCGGAGACACAGGGTCTGGACCCGGCTCTCCTGGTGGCTTGGCAGCAACTGCCCCTCTGTGCCCTTTTTGGTAGGAGGAGTGAAAAGCTTGGCCTTCTCTGGGAAGCCCTTGGGGATGGGGGGCTGAAGAGCTGGCCCCAAAGGGCACCTCCACCCATCTTGCCTGAGAAGGCTGGGGCTGTTGGGGATCTCAGTCCCTTTTTCTTTTGCATGGCAGGGTGGTGTCCATGGAGCTGCTGGAGATCCACGTGAGGCAGTCCTTCTCTGCCCTCCGTACGCTGATGGCCAGGACCCTGGGCCTCCAGGACTGTGGATCGTGCATCAAGAGGCAGCGCCTGCTGAAGAGAAGGCTGCAAGGGACAATCGACGAGAGCAGCTATTGCCTCCTCAATGACATTTTCCTTGTGGAGGTGAAAGCCAGAGGCCTCTCCCGAGTTTCTCTGGGTCTGACGTTATGTGGGCACGTTGCTGGGAGTGCCTTAGCTGCGGGGTGGGAATGGCGGGGGTCCCAGCACACATTTCCCATCCCTGGGCTCCCTGTCGGTGGGGAGTTTGTGTCCCGGTGCCTTGTTCAGCGCCCTGGAAGTGGCACTGGAGAGAGGCCCTTCCTGCCCTCGTGCTGAGGTCAGCGCTGCGTGAGGGCTCTGCTCCAGCCAGCCCAAGGTCCCCACAGCCAGAGAAGCAGCTCCTGATCCCAGCCCAAGGCCCGGCTCTGCAGAAGCCCTCAGCCTTGGCTTTAGGCTCTGGATGGAGTCCCACCTGTGGCTCCCTGCCCCTGCATTGGGGAGAGCTCAGGTGCTGAGGCCAGCAGAGGCAGTGGGCTCTGCGCTCTTGCGTGCTGCGGATGGGGAGGTGTGCCGAGCCCCACAGCCATGTTTCTCCCTGACTCTGCTTTTCTGGACAGTTTCCCCTTTCGGACAAGGTTCGCAAGATGCGTGAAACAGAAAGGAAAATGGAATTGCACTCGACTTGGAGAAAAGTGCTGGAGAAGGTGAGCATTTCTCCTTCCTTCTTTCCTCCTGGGCCATAGAAGGAGAACAAGCCTGCTGGCTGCGGGGTCTGTCCCACTGCAGCGTGAGGGGCGGGATGGCCACACGCCTGGGTCATCGTCCGTCAGGGCCTGAGAAAGTCCTCAACTCGCACCTGCCCCCACAGCCCCACAAACACACCCAGTAACTTTCCTCCCGTGAAGTGTGGCCGGGTGGAGGAACTATGTCTTCTGGGTTCCCCTGTCCAAGCTCCCCTCTTCTGCAGAGTAAGTGATGTTCGGTGTGACCCTACAGTCTCAAAGAAATTCAAAAAGTCAGGCAGCTTGCGAGCGGGGAAGTGGCTGGGGAGAGATTTCCGAGCATCCTCTCAAGAGACAGAGGTTACATCTCCTCCCCTGGAAGGCAATCCAGAATCCCCCAGATCCCCCTCAGAGCAACCTCCTTTTTTCAGATGCTTGGAGGAGAATTTGGCATCTTTGTCATCGACAATGCCCACTTCATCGACCCTGCTTCCTGGAGCATCATGTCAGCTGTGCTCCAAAATGTCTCTCTCTTCATGGTCATGAGCTTAGCCCCGGGCTACGCAAGAACAGAGAGTTTTCACAAAGCTGCGGCAGACAGCACAACATCCCAGAAAATCACCTACATTCACCTGGACAAGTTGAACACTTCAGCCGTTGTGCAAAAAGTCTGCAAGGACCTCGGAGGGTTCAGCATCTCCAAGGATCTGGAGAGGTGAGCTGGAGACAGGGGAGCTCTCCCCGAGGGCTTGAACCTCTGCCAGCCCTGGTGGGGAATCATCCTCCGTCCCAAAGAAAGGAAGCACCACTGACTCCAGCGAGTACCAGACGTGGGTGGCTTGTTCTGCCTCAGCCTGGCAAATGTGTGAGCTGAGAGTGGGCAACGAGAGCCCAAGCTCAGTGCTGTTCATCTGACTCCAGACCCAGCAGACAGCAGGGTGGCCTTTCTCAGAAGCCCTGCTTGCCCTCTGCCCGTTTCCCAGAAGGATCACGGGGGCCTGTGGTCTGGCAGGCAGACTGCTAATGTCTGGAGCCCCACGGCAGATTTGCCACTAGCCCCATCTTTGCCTCGTAGCCCCGGGAGTTCCTCTGCAGGGGGCACGCAGGGAGACAAGGGCCAGCGCTGCGGAGACACAGGGTCTGGACCCGGCTCTCCTGGTGGCTTGGCAGCAACTGCCCCTCTGTGCCCTTTTTGGTAGGAGGAGTGAAAAGCTTGGCCTTCTCTGGGAAGCCCTTGGGGATGGGGGGCTGAAGAGCTGGCCCCAAAGGGCACCTCCACCCATCTTGCCTGAGAAGGCTGGGGCTGTTGGGGATCTCAGTCCCTTTTTCTTTTGCATGGCAGGGTGGTGTCCATGGAGCTGCTGGAGATCCACGTGAGGCAGTCCTTCTCTGCCCTCCGTACGCTGATGGCCAGGACCCTGGGCCTCCAGGACTGTGGATCGTGCATCAAGAGGCAGCGCCTGCTGAAGAGAAGGCTGCAAGGGACAATCGACGAGAGCAGCTATTGCCTCCTCAATGACATTTTCCTTGTGGAGGTGAAAGCCAGAGGCCTCTCCCGAGTTTCTCTGGGTCTGACGTTATGTGGGCACGTTGCTGGGAGTGCCTTAGCTGCGGGGTGGGAATGGCGGGGGTCCCAGCACACATTTCCCATCCCTGGGCTCCCTGTCGGTGGGGAGTTTGTGTCCCGGTGCCTTGTTCAGCGCCCTGGAAGTGGCACTGGAGAGAGGCCCTTCCTGCCCTCGTGCTGAGGTCAGCGCTGCGTGAGGGCTCTGCTCCAGCCAGCCCAAGGTCCCCACAGCCAGAGAAGCAGCTCCTGATCCCAGCCCAAGGCCCGGCTCTGCAGAAGCCCTCAGCCTTGGCTTTAGGCTCTGGATGGAGTCCCACCTGTGGCTCCCTGCCCCTGCATTGGGGAGAGCTCAGGTGCTGAGGCCAGCAGAGGCAGTGGGCTCTGCGCTCTTGCGTGCTGCGGATGGGGAGGTGTGCCGAGCCCCACAGCCATGTTTCTCCCTGACTCTGCTTTTCTGGACAGTTTCCCCTTTCGGACAAGGTTCGCAAGATGCGTGAAACAGAAAGGAAAATGGAATTGCACTCGACTTGGAGAAAAGTGCTGGAGAAGGTGAGCATTTCTCCTTCCTTCTTTCCTCCTGGGCCATAGAAGGAGAACAAGCCTGCTGGCTGCGGGGTCTGTCCCACTGCAGCGTGAGGGGCGGGATGGCCACACGCCTGGGTCATCGTCCGTCAGGGCCTGAGAAAGTCCTCAACTCGCACCTGCCCCCACAGCCCCACAAACACACCCAGTAACTTTCCTCCCGTGAAGTGTGGCCGGGTGGAGGAACTATGTCTTCTGGGTTCCCCTGTCCAAGCTCCCCTCTTCTGCAGAGTAAGTGATGTTCGGTGTGACCCTACAGTCTCAAAGAAATTCAAAAAGTCAGGCAGCTTGCGAGCGGGGAAGTGGCTGGGGAGAGATTTCCGAGCATCCTCTCAAGAGACAGAGGTTACATCTCCTCCCCTGGAAGGCAATCCAGAATCCCCCAGATCCCCCTCAGAGCAACCTCCTTTTTTCAGATGCTTGGAGGAGAATTTGGCATCTTTGTCATCGACAATGCCCACTTCATCGACCCTGCTTCCTGGAGCATCATGTCAGCTGTGCTCCAAAATGTCTCTCTCTTCATGGTCATGAGCTTAGCCCCGGGCTACGCAAGAACAGAGAGTTTTCACAAAGCTGCGGCAGACAGCACAACATCCCAGAAAATCACCTACATTCACCTGGACAAGTTGAACACTTCAGCCGTTGTGCAAAAAGTCTGCAAGGACCTCGGAGGGTTCAGCATCTCCAAGGATCTGGAGAGGTGAGCTGGAGACAGGGGAGCTCTCCCCGAGGGCTTGAACCTCTGCCAGCCCTGGTGGGGAATCATCCTCCGTCCCAAAGAAAGGAAGCACCACTGACTCCAGCGAGTACCAGACGTGGGTGGCTTGTTCTGCCTCAGCCTGGCAAATGTGTGAGCTGAGAGTGGGCAACTGCCAGACCCAAAGCCTGGGAGGCGTCAGCCCTTCGCTGCTGCACAGGGAGGAGGGAGGTGGAGTCCTGAGCCCAGGCGTGTCGGGGTGTGAAAAGAAAGGCCTTGGTGTGGGTGGCTGGGCTGTGGGGGAGACTCCCTGGGGCAGAGTTCGCCCTGCTGCCAGAGAGGGACTGGGCTCCTGAGGAGAAGAAAGGCAGGGCTCGCCTGTGGGCATTGCCTGCAAGTCTTTTCCCACTAACTTCAGTGATGGCTGGTGGTTCAGGGGGCCCGAAAGCCCAAGGCGGCGGGAGGACAGTCCCTTTCCCAAGTGAGCTGTAGCTGTGACGAAGATGAGTGACTATCCGAGTGACTGGCCGCCCACCTGAGCCGTGTTTCACCTGATTTTCTGTTTGCTCTGCTCCTGTGCAGGTTCCTGATGCAGAGAAGCTCAGGGATCCCATATTACTGTGAGGAGCTGCTGCGCTGCCTTCATTCCAACAACATGCTCTTGTTCTGCCCCCAGCGGGCTGGAAAAGCAGAGGAGGACTGGGAGGGCCTGATCAGTAAGCACCTTCGCTGAGAGGAGCCAGCTGCTGTGGCTCATTCTGCGCAGCACAGGCTTGCCCCATCGTTCCCTTGTGGGTCTGGGTAGGATCAGATCCTGCAGCCGTGCTGAAGCTGGTCTGGCGGAGGTGTGGGCTCCTCTGTGCCTTGCTGTTGCGACAGGCAAAGCAAGGGGCTAGTGAGTCCTGGGGGCTTGGAGGGGCCTGCATTCTTGGGGCGGGGGTTGCACGGCTAAAACACAAGGGAAAGTGTTCTGGAGCACACGTGTTTCTGGTGTTTCTTAGGCAGTCTAATGGGCTCGGAATTTACCTTGGCCAAACGCTAGCTCACTTGAGAACAAACCCCAGCTTGAGGTGAGGGACAGGCCCGGGGAACTTGAGTCCCAAACCATAAATCCCCACAAGGGTGCTGGTGACAGAAGAGAATGGTGGCCATGCCACCCGAGAGAGCAATGCCAGCCAGAGTGCCGTGGCCTTGGGAAGAGCCGGGGCTGAGGCTACAGTTTGCATTATCACCGACAAGTTCCCTGGCTGTGGAGGTTGCGCTGCAATGTCGGAGGCAGCAAAGCTGCTGCTTTCTATCCCAGGGCATTCAGTCGCCTCGTGGGAAGGCTGGAAGCCTTGGCTGGAGGAGGGTGTGGGAAAGGCAGAACATCTTTGGGAGGGCCGTGCCAAGAAGGGCTTGTAGTGGAAACTGCTTTGCTTGGCTTCACGAGCACGTTCAGTGCAGGCAGGTCCGTGTGCGCGCACTGGCCTTGTCCCATCCCAGGTGCACTTGGAAACATTTGCAAGCTGCAGGTCACTTTGCAAATGGCCTTATTGGTGCAATCTCGCTCCACCCAGCATCTGCAGCTGAGGCCTCATCCCTCGCAGAAACCGGGAGCTCCAACATGAAGAGTGACGGCAGGGTCTGCACCATCAGGCCAGGCGTCAACCTGGAGAACACCGTGCTGCCCGTCCCCCTGAAAGGTGAGGGGCCGAGCACCGCTCTGCAGCTGGCGGCCATGATGGGGCCCCTTCCTGGGGCATGGGCTGGAGGGAGGCTGGGCATAATCTCGCTCCACCCAGCATCTGCAGCTGAGGCCTCATCCCTCGCAGAAACCGGGAGCTCCAACATGAAGAGTGACGGCAGGGTCTGCACCATCAGGCCAGGCGTCAACCTGGAGAACACCGTGCTGCCCGTCCCCCTGAAAGGTGAGGGGCCGAGCACCGCTCTGCAGCTGGCGGCCATGATGGGGCCCCTTCCTGGGGCATGGGCTGGAGGGAGGCTGGGCATCCGTGTGCCACAGTCACCGTCTCGGTGTGGAAGGGGGCTCCAGTCCCAGCAGAAAGAGGCCTGGGGCTGCTTTCCCCTCTGGCTGGGGACCAGCTGTGAGCCTGTTGGCTCCATCCATCAGTAGGCAGGAGAGAAAAGGTTATCGGTGCAACACTAAAATGGCTCCCTTTTCTCACAGAAGCAAATCCTTTGCTGGGAACAAGCTTTAGCTTGCCTCTGTCCCAACTTTGAACGCAGCTTCTACAGTGCTGTTCTCTTTTAAAGTTCCCCAGCTAATGCTGGCCTCAAGGCACTTCAACCAAACCAAAAGAACGGAATAGTATTGCCTGGCCAAGAGAAGGCAACCGTTGTGGGGAGCTCTGAGTCCACCATCAGTAGGCAGGAGAGAAAAGGTTATCGGTGCAACACTAAAATGGCTCCCTTTTCTCACAGAAGCAAATCCTTTGCTGGGAACAAGCTTTAGCTTGCCTCTGTCCCAACTTTGAACGCAGCTTCTACAGTGCTGTTCTCTTTTAAAGTTCCCCAGCTAATGCTGGCCTCAAGGCACTTCAACCAAACCAAAAGAACGGAATAGTATTGCCTGGCCAAGAGAAGGCAACCGTTGTGGGGAGCTCTGAGTCCACCTGTGAGGTGGGGAAAGTTCTGGGAGTGCACTGTTGGGCACAAACCTCCTCCAGATCTGGTAGGGCGCATCCCGGGATGCGCTGACCTGCTGGGTCCTGCCATCCCCACCCTGGGTGGGGGAGCGTTTGTTGGAGCGTCTCGCTTATCCCCAGGCCTTATGGCCTGCAATTCCATCAGGAGCAGAGCCAATTTGAAGATGCCCACCCCGGGCTGTGATTGCCCAGGAGTTCCGAGGAGTCCCGGGGAGAGGAGGCCAAAGTCTATCCCGTCTTGTGTTGAACCTTTCCAGCCTCTCCAGCCTCAGCGCAGGGAAGAGGCAAGAGAGACGTGTTGCTGCTTCTTGACAGAGATCGCGCTGACTCAGCTGGATCAGATGAAACCGCTGAAGCAGATGATCTTGAAGTTTGCGGCAGTCATCGGGCCAGTGTTTACCACCCAGCTGCTGTCGCACATCCTTCCCACGGGTGCCCGGCAGCAGATGAATCCCCTGCTGGACATGCTGGTGAGCGAGAAGATCCTGAGGTGGCTGAAAACCCAAGAGGCACCAGAAGATGTGCGACATCCTCCTGAGAGGCCAGCAACGTCTTGGCATGCAGAGAGTGGTAAGTGGTAGCAGGACAGTGGACAAGGGAGCTCCCAGCTGTGTCCGGCGGGGTTCCCTTGGGGCATGGTGGGCTTCCCCCGCTGTGACGGGTGGCTGGAGCTCAGGCAGGCACGGCTGTGTGAGACGGGTTGGTCAAAGACCCTTCAGGCCAGTCACAAAGCTTTGTGCTGGAGGGGAGTTCCCACCGAGCGCCATCCCAAGCGCCTCTGCTCCCCTGCCTCCAAGCGCTGCTCATGGTGCGGGCCTGGGAGGGCCTGTGGAGTCCCCAGGGCTGGGCTAGCGACAGCAAGGCTTGCCAGGCCCTGTCTCCCCGTGTCCCCAGGGCTGGGCTAGCGACAGCAAGGCTTGCCAGACCCTGTCTCCCCGTGTCCCCAGGGCTGGGCTAGCGACAGCAAGGCTTGCCAGGCCCTGTCTCCCCGTGTCCCCAGGGCTGGGCTAGCGACAGCAAGGCTTGCCAGGCCCTGTCTCCCCGTGTCCCCAGGGCTGGGCTAGCGACAGCAAGGCACAGGCGCTTTCACCCCGTGCTCAGGCTGGGTGTGCAGCAGCGCGGGGTCGCTGCCGAGGATGCCCACCACGGCGTGACTCTCGTGCCCTGGCGGGTACGGCCCCAAGCCCTGCCCCCAGCTCAGGCTGATGCCAAGGCCCGTTGCCTTGCAGGTGTGCAGACCACGGAGCAGCCGTCTGGCGCCCTGGCCTTCTGTGTCCCGCTGCTGCAAGAGGCTGCCTACGAGCTGTGGCCCCGGAGACAGCGGGTGGCCCTACACCGCAAGTGTGCCGCCTTCCTGCAGCAGCACGCACACCGATGCGGAAGCTGCGGCCAAGGGGAGTTCGTGGCCTGCCACCGCTTCGCCGTCACCAGCAGCCAGGAGGGAGGGAGCTGTCGGGACCCTGCTGACCAGGGCAACTTGCGCAGCTGGGAGGCCTTGGTGCTGACCGGAGAGCAGCTGAGGAGGGAGAGGATCCACGCCGCTGGGGGTACGCTGTGCTCCGTGCTCCACAGCCCGGGTGCTGCAGGAACCCAGGGGGGTGCACTGGGGATGGGCTGGGAGTGGGTCTGCCAGGGACGAGCCCAGGAGCTGAGGACAACCACCAAAGACTGTCCTCAGCGTGTCAGCAGCCTTGCGAGGGTCCTTGTAAGCCCACTGGGAGAGGGAGGGCAGCTCTTACCCCGTGGGAGGCGAGGAGGTGTCTAACCCCCTGTTTTCTTTGCAGATGCTGGAGAACACCAGGTCTTTGCTGAGGAGAACTTGGGGTGAGCAGAGAGGGTTTGATTCTTCATAAAGGCAGTGAGCTCAGGCTCTCCAGAGGAGACCAAAGAAGCGCTGGCATTTGGCTACCGGTTCTGACTAGCTTAGGGAAGAAGCTTTCTCTGGGGTGGGAGCTGGGAGGAGATGGCCATAGAGAGGAGACGGTGCTCAAGGAAGCCCGTGGGCTCCGAGTGATGGTCATGCTACACTGGAGTAGGCCTTGCTTTCCAGTTCCTAGAGAGTAGGGGTAAAATGTACAGGGGAAAAGCCACCCTGGGAAGCCGGGTGGTTTTCCTGTGGGAGGTGACAGCAAGCCCAGCTTGTCTCTGTCTCCCTACCTCTAAAGCACCTGTAGGAGTCTCGGCTGCCCAAGGGCTCATGCTCTGCTTTGAGCAAAGGGCTTTTGATGCCGTCTCTGTGGGGAGAAAGACCAGTCTGGCTGATGCCATTGTGTTCTTTGCTCTCTTCTTCCCCTGGAAACTGCAGCATGGCAGAGCGCAATCAGAGAACGGACCTGCCCAGCGAGACCAACGGGAAGCCCAATGGTGACTGCTCCTGCCAAGCCATCGTGGAATCGGTGCTTGTGCCTCTGGCTCGGCACTGCCTGGCAGCGGGCGATGCTGGCCGAGCCTTTTACTACCTTCTGGAGTCTGCGGCTGGCTACCTGCACGTCTCCAACAGCCACATGGTGAGTTGCCAGCCCGCTCGGTGCACGGAGCCCTCTCCGTGGCCTGGCTCTGGGCAGGACAACGTCACTGCTGCAGTAGGGCCTGCCTTGAGGGGACCTTGGAAGGGAAATGCTGGGGTCAGAGCCGGACTTTTCCCTCTGCTTTGCGTCTTCTGTGGACAGAGACACGGGCCAGCGTGGCCTGAGCACGAGGGGCATTAGCAGGGAGGGAGTCTGAAGGATCACTGGTGCCTGTGCTCTGAGCCAGTGGGACTGTGTTTGGGCAAACATCGCCAGGGGGAGAATCAGGCCCTTGTAAGACCGAGGCCAGAGGCAATGGGGGAGACAAGGCTGGCCATGGGCTCTGCATCCACGCTCACCTGCTCTCCATCTGCTTGTGCAAAGGCCCTCATGAAGCTCAATGAAGCAGAGGTCCTGAGGAAGACCAAAGAAATTGTGACAGCCCGCTTTGAGGAGGCCATCTTCTTCAGCCTCAAAGGGGAGGTAAAGAGACGGGGAGGTCTGGAGAGGTCTCCTGGGGGACGGAGCTGGATGCCTTCCCTGGCCCCTCCAGCCACTGGCAGACTCCTGCAGCCCCTTGGGCCACTCGACCATGTCGGGGTGTTTCCCTTCTCCTCTGCAGGTCTGCTGCCATATGAACCGCCTAAAGCTGGCAAAGAAGATGATCAGGAAGGCTTTGAGCCTGCTCAAGCGGCACTTCCCCCGGAGCTCCTTAGGAGCCTTCATCAAGTCTCAGGTGGAGAAGTTGCCGTGTGCCGCCTTTGTCAGAAGAGCAGCCTCCCTTCCGCAGGAGATCCGGTAAGAAGCAGAACTGAGACCCCAGGGGAGGAAGAGCCATTTCCTACCTGGTCACAGGCACGCGGGCCCAGACCGGCCGAGCCTTGAGGCCACCCCTGACCTGACGCAGGGCCCTCGCAAGACCCAGGCATTAAGGAGCCTTTTGCAGGGAGAGCGGGGAAGGACAGAGCCCCGCGACTGAGCACGCCTTGGGGTAAAAAGCAGCTGGAGCCGGGGCTGTGTCAGCTTCCTCCCAGCAGCACTTGTGTGTTTGCCCCTTTCTGCTCCAGCAGCCCTCCCTACGTCAGCTCCCCTTCCTCAGAGCAGGTGCAACTTGCTTGTCCGTCCCCCTGCTTTACCCCGGCCCTGCCCCATGGAACCCTGTGCAGCAAGAGCCTCTGGGCCCAGCAGTGTCTCTTGTGTGGCAGGAGGAAGAGGCTGGCCTCGCTGCTGCGGCAGAGCTGCTGCCTTTCCTTACTGGAGCAGGTCTTCCGCCTGGAGGGCACGTCCCGCGGACGGAGGTTCTCCGACTTGGCAGCGCGCATGAAGGCCAACACGGACAGGGAGGCAGACTCCTATCAGGCAGCAGACTCTGGTCACCCCTAGACTCGGGACACCGACAGATGCCGGCACAGACACAGGTACAATTAGCCATGCAGGTACCACAGAGATACCTTCACAGACACCAGGACCAATGTAGGCAGAGACACCGGCACTGACACCATTAGAGACACCACTGTCCCTCCCGTTGCTGGGGCAGGTGCCCTCATAGAGGCCACGGCAGACACAGATGACACTGCAGATAGCCTTGCATGCGCTGGGCAGAGACAGGCCAGCAGGAAGGCAGGCACCGCGAGCTCGGTCCTTGCTAGAGAGCATTTCCCAAGCTGCTGCTCTCGCCCATCTCTCCGGGATTCCAGCAGGCATCCTTTCCCATGTGCTTTGATCTTTCCCACATCAGGGCAGGAACTTCCAGCAGGTTCCATGCCAGGATCCCTGGCAGGCCTGTGTCATCTAAGCACAGATGTTCTCCTTGTCAGGCACACAAAACGGATCGAGGTGTGTTCCAGGTGCTTTCCACACCTCAGCTGTAGGTCCCTGGCGCGTGTTTCCAGTTCTCCTGCCCACCTCCTCTTGTGTTCCCACAGACCAGAAGGAAGGTGCAGCCCGTGGAGAGCCCACCCTGGAGCAGGCTCCTGGCAAGACCTGTGGCCTGTGAAGCATCGCCCCTGCAGGAGCAGGTTTGCTGGCAGGAGCAGGGAGACCCACGCTGGAGCAGTGCCCCGACCCTGCCCCTTAGCAGCCCCACACCTGGGGGGCAGACCCACACCTGGGGGACGGACCCACGGATGGACACCCCACACCCCGCTTCCATCCTTGTGCTTATAAAGGCATCCTGACACTGGACGCCTAGGTCCACTTGTTTTGGGGGGCTGGGAGGGGTAGTTGGAGGGCCCGCATGCCTGAGGCCCCTTTTTCAGTGGGGGCCAGATGCCTGGGTCTGCTTTCAGTGGGGCACGGGCACCTGGGTCCCCTTTTGTTGGGCGGGTTGAATTACTTGAGGGGCCCAGATGCCTGGGTCCTTTTTGGGGGGGCAATCTCCAGCTGTTTGTTATTTTTGAGCCCAGCCCTTGGGAGACTGAAAAAAGGGGGTTTTGAGGATGTTTTTTTTTAAACGCCCCCCAAATGACACTGTCTTCCCCTCTCATCCTGCAGAGAAAATCGCCACGAAGCTTTCAGAGACGCTGGAGGCGGCCATGCAGCTCTGAGGACGAGGCATTTATTTATATATATATGTGTATATATTTTAAGTGAGAAATTGTTAAAATAATTAAAAAGTCTTTTCTGAAATAATTGTGTTAGGGAGGTGTGATTTTGGGAGGGGGGGGTGTTTTGGGAGGTCTCTAAATGAGGAGGTTGGACCATGGAAGCTTTGGGAGTTCTGCAGGGAAAGAGAGGGCACACCAAATCCCCATGGAGGTTTATTGTAGGGGGCTCCCCCCCATCAGCTTGGTGGGTGATCAGAATGTGGGGCACACCCCCGAATTTGGGGGGTACACCCTGTTATTCCAGCAGACTCAGCTGAGGCAAGACTCAGCTCCCAGAGGGGCTCAGCAAACCCCCACATTGGGACTGAGGGGGGCTCAGCTGGTGGTGGTGGTGGTGGAGGCAGTTAGAGAGGAGGGTGCACCCCCATTATTTAGGGCAGCCCTGATTATTCAAGGCACACCATTTCCCCCTCCCAGCTTTCCCCATCCCCTATAGGGCAGCCCATGTGCCCCCTGACACCAAATAAGCCCCCCGCCCAAAACCTGCAGAGCACCCAGATCCCCATCGCTGCACCCTGGGCTCCCACTGGTCCCCAAAACCCCTTTTATGTCCCCCAAATAGAACCGTGTCTCTATTAAGTTGTCCGCCTTCCCCCTCAGGGCATCTTCAGCAGCGCAGGCGGGTGGTGAAATCCTTCCTGGGGTTGTAGGGCACCAGTGTCTCCCTCGTCCTGTACCCCAGGGCCTGGCTGAGGGGAGTTCGCTCTGGTGGCGCCTTACGAGGGGCGGGATCATCAGTAGTGCTTTCAATCCCTTTCTTCTGGTAAGGCCGTCTATTTTGGGTGGTTTGGGGGTGTTTGGATCTGGCTTTTCCCGCTTGAAACCACACAGCGTGGCCATTTTGTGACCCTGAGGCGAAAGGGGCGGTTTTCCTGCCTTTTTCTCCACCTGAGGAGCTCCCTGCAGGAGCGAGGGGAGGGGCAAGTGCGGCCACTGGCCCAATGGTGGTGCGAAGAAGAGGGGGGTGGGTGGGACAAGGGCGGTGGGTGAGCCAATGGGAGGTGGGTTTTACCGAGGTGGGCAGGGCAGAAGGGGAGGGCACGCAGGGGTGGCCTGAGGGAAGGCGGGTAATGGTGGTGGCAAAGCGTCTTTTTAAGCGGCCCCGGCAGGTCTGTGGCCCGGTTGAAGCGGGGAAAAGCAAGGAGGGGATGCGGGAGAGGGTGATGGGGATACCTTCATCGTGATTTCAGTCCACCCAATGCTTATTTTTCCCTCAGAAGTGCTTTGAGAAATGTCCCAGAGGGAGCACTGTCTATCCTGTTGTCCAACCCTCCACCTAAATCTGATGGAAAAAACATCATCTGAACCGTGTCATAAGGACTATGTCAACCCGTCTTCTAGGGATGGTGTCTCAACCACTTCCCTGGGCAGCCCATTCCAACGCTTAATAACTCAGTGTCAAAATTGTTCCGAATATCCAATCTGAACCTCCCCTGGCGCAACTTGAGGCCGTTTCCCCTTGTTCCGTCGCCTACTACCTACCCATACCCATAACCTACCTACCCTACCCATACCGACCCCCCCCGCCTACACCCTCCTTTCAGGGAGTTGGAGAGAGCAATAAGGTCTCCCCTCAGCCTCCCTTTCTCCAGGCTGAACACCCCCAGCTCCCTCAGCCTCTCCTCACAAAACCCAGACTCCAGACCCCTCACCAGCTCCCTTGCCCTTCTCTGGACTTGCTCCAGCACCTCAAGGTCTTTTTTGTGGTGCGGGGCCCAAAACTGGACCCAGCCCTCGAGGTGGGGCCTCACCAGTGCCCAGTCCAGGGGGACCATCACCTCTCGGGCCCTACTCACCACACTGTTCCTGACACAGGCCAGGATGCTGTTGGCCTTCTTGGCCACCTGGGCACACTGCTGGCTCATGTTCAGCTGACAGTCGACCAAGACCCCCAGGTCCTTTTCTGCCAGGCAGCTCCAGCCACTCTGCTCCCAGCCTGGAGCGCTGCTGGGGTTGGTGTGACCCAAGTGCAGGACCTGGCACACAAGATCACAGGTCACAGAATGGAATATAGAAGAGATATCTCCAAGGTAAGGGCCCAAAAAGCTGTCTCTGAGCTGGAAGGAGGGTAAGTGTGTCAATGCTGCACTCTGCTCACAGCTGGAATCAGTACAGTGTGTCGGCAACCAAGCTGCTATTCCCGCAAAGTATGATTTAATGTCATACGGACAAAAGTAGATCATTACAGAACCCTGCGATTTTTAATTTTAAAATACTAGATGGCATAGACACTTCTGTGATCCTTGCCTTTAGCAGTACGTTGGATTGGAAGGAAGACATAGAGAGGACTCCTCAAACAGTCAACATGTAATGAATAAGAAGAGGGGAAAAAAGTCCCAGAAGTAAGGGTTAAACACATCCCCAGTGAAATAACCTTATTAGCTTTCTGTGCGATAGACTGCTTGTTTTCTTGAACAAAATTTGATTTTGACCCAACTAGAGTTTAACAGGAGAAGTCCCATTATTCACTCACATAGCATGGATTTAGCTGTTCCTTTCATGAGTCACCATAAAGAATTTTACATTTTTGGGGTGTGGGGAGGAGGAAAGAGAGAATAGAAAAAGAAATTATGAAGTACTTGGTGTAATTTACAAGAGTTGAACTAGATCCATCAGCTGCTGTTACTTTTCTTCTCCCTTTTCCCTTTGCTTCTTCTTGTTTAACTTTGCTGCTGCTGCTGGGCTCAGGTTTCTCAGAGGTTCTTTTGCAGGTGGCACCATTTCTCCACTCACAATCTTTTTGCCAGCCTCTTGGTTGAGTTCAGCCTTTTTTGGGAGGTTGTTAAGAGAAGGAGATTTATCCCTTTCTGGAGCTGGCTCTCCTTTTCACCATCAGGCTCAGTCTTCAGCAATGTTTTTGATTCAGCAGTTTCTGGTTTAGAGGCCTTTATGGAGGTGGCTTCATGATCTTTATCAACCTTTTCCTCTACTTTTCCCTTTTTCAGGTTTTGCATTAGCAAACATGGCTGCAGTGCAGCATCAAACATCCAGAAAACATGATCTGGACAGTAAAGGTCAGATTTTAAATGACAGCTTAGCCAAATGTGAATGCTTCACTACTTATTTGGCAACTCGGGCAGGGTGGAAAGTACTTGTACGGCAATCCTACAGACAGGACTATTTAATGAACATTTCTCACCAGATGTCCTAGCAACATTTTGCACAACCTAGTTCTAACCAAGGTTAGTGACCGCGTTTCAAGAAAAATCATATCTAAAAGGTTCTAAACTCAGCCTCTAGTACTATGACTTGATGCCATGACTCCAGGAGAGATACTGACAGCATCACTAATAGAGCAATTCAGACTCCTGTCTACATGATCCTTCAGGATAGAAACCATCAGCTACCCTGAGGTTGTTCTTCTCAAGTGTTTCTTTTCTTCTTTTTGAAAGATGCATTTCACATTGTTCCGCTTATGTTCATCAGCATCACTCCTCCTCTCAAAGTCCCTCAGAAATTTTACATTTCCCTACGAACAGGTCTGATCTTCTAATTCCTAAGAAGAATTTAACAAAGTCAACAAAATACTAGTGAAAGCCACCAGTTTGCAGTCCAGGTTAAAAACTCTCAGTGTGTCCACATGGCATAGACAAAAATGGAAATGAAGAAAATTTCTCTCGTATATCATCTCCTCCAAAGCGCTTGGAGGTAATGGTTACAATCCGAACAGGGACATGCAGAAAATGCAGCCTATTGCAGTCTCCAGCCTCCTTGCGGTCATCAGGAGGGGAAGGATGTCATTGCAGAGAAATTGTAGTAATAAGACCCTTTTCCTTA